GTAAATTAATTTTGAATTTAGTAGTTATAAAGTAAAAAACTGAAATAACATAGTTGAAAAAAGTAAACAGAGCAAAAAATATGATGAACAAGAATAAAAAGATAGACACAAGCGTAACCAAAATATTGTACTCTCCACTTGTACCTTCAAATTAAAGGGATTTAACCACCACAATAAGGTAGCTTCAACAATTTTTGAGGTGTCCCAAAATTTACATATAATTTTGGTCTTCGATGCAATTTTTTTGTCAACAAGGTATGCAAGCCTCTACTCTTACCAACTCCTTTCATGTATATATTTGATTTACACGCTCTCTGTCTATTGAAATTTAAGCAATACTTAATACAATCTAAGCTATTGTCTACAACACTACAATATCGATGATATATGTTTTCACTTCTCTATGAACTTAAACTAGAAACTATAAATAAATCTGTTAGATTTTTATTCTATAACTTTCGCTTAAAACTGGAAACATAATATTGCATCATCTTTAATGTAGAAGATTAAGAAAATAATTACATGGAAAAGTTTTACTTTATTAAAAAAAATTGGTACGGGACCTTTCATTGCAAAGAACGACCTTTCAAGAGTTCGTAGGGAAAAGAGAAATAACATCTTGGGGATTGACTTGTAGGCAATACATGACAAGCTAAACTAGATCTGACTAGGTTCCAACTTAGTGCATATATGACCATGGCAACTCAAACTTTTAAAAAAACTTTAATCTACTCAGAATGTTGATAAGTTGATAACCACTGGCACTGCATCTAATATAGTTTTCTTATGTTCTTTAAAAAAATACACATTTAGGTTAGTTAGACATGTCAACATTCATTAAGCAATGGCTTAACTATATAAACCTATAGTTGGAAGCATCTAAGATATCACATTTGATTTGAAAGTCCAATAGCTTGAAGAGAAATTAGTTAAACAGGATTAATCACATTAACTGAATATGGCAAGTTTCAAGTTATGGGTTTGCCTCATCTTGATTCTACTCGAGTTCTCGGTGCATCAATGCCGACCATTGGTTGCAGAAGAGAGGCCTTCAGATTCAGAGAACATAAGAAAGATTATGAGAGAACTTATCAAGAGATCAGAAGAGCTGAAGGTGAGATCGAAAGGCGACAGAACGGTCCTAGGCAATACCCTTGATTCAAAGCGGCTCAGCCCCGGTGGACCGGACCCTAGACATCACTAATGTTTAGTTTTATATCCTTCGGTGAGGTTTTCAAACTTGTAACGTCCATAGAGGCTTTGCATAAGGGTTCTTTGGTGTAACTCTAAGGTTACCATCTTATTAACATTGATGAGATCAAATTCATGTTGAAGTAGAATGTTTGTATGTTCGTCTAAAGCGAAGTGTACTAGAAAATGTGCTTCTTTTTATATAAATGGGGTTTAATTTCTTTTGTGCTTACCAAAACTATCAGGAATAACATTTAATCTTCTTTCTTTTTTTCCTTAGTTGAGTACTCGATGGTTACATGACCACCACAAGTCATGTATTCACAATTTCGTTGATTTATTCTAAATTCAAAAAGGAAAATAAACAAGATTGAAAATAATTCCTTGCTATTGTTTATGTTGATGCATGATCAAAGATTGATTTCTACTGACGGCAAATTAAACTCTAAGGTTACCATCTTTCGTTTGCTGTTGTAATTAGCTTATTCCGAAGATATTTTCAGAACGAGGCTTTGATCATCAGAGAAATTAAAGGAAGACCATATTAAACAATTTTTAGTGAGGTGTACGTACTTATATATATAGTAGAATACAAAAATCAAAATATACGAATAATTCCACTATATACGTAGATGCATGCGACGACAAAAACCGTAATCAGTCGAAAGTGGATGCTAACATATATGATTATTTCAGAAAATATACATGCACGCATGCATTAGACAACGATCTCTCTCTCTCTCTCATAAAAGAAATTTCTTGCATCAATTGCCGCAATGTACAAACTGACTCGCGACTCGACTAAGGTTCGAAGGAACTTAGCTTTTCTGGCTCGTTGAACTGTCGCAAGATTATTGGAAACAAGAGATTAAAACTCTGATGCAGGACATCTGTTCTTCCATTGGCTTAGCTG